CCCAGCCCCACTCCCTCCCTCACCATGGGGGCCTTGATCTGGGACTGGGGGCTGCACTGGGCTGTTCCCAGCCACACCAGACACTGGTCTCCAAGCTGCCCAGCTGCATATTGGAATCAAATTGGTATTGGCCAATATGGCTTGTTAAAAATCGGCCACTGGTATCGGCTCAAAAATCTCTATAGGTGCAGCCCTACTAAAAAGGTTGAGAATCACTGCACATTAAATATACTTAACAGGGCAGAGCTGGAAGGGCTTTATCTGTAGGTCTGTCCATTTCTAATTAATTCAAGGGGCCTGAGATAGCCCCCAAGCTGGCCCCAGGATAAGGGCAGAGTATAAAGCTATTTTCCTCACTGCTGAGGATTCAACTCATGACCCGCACCAGTTTTCTTGCCTAGACACTAAGATCGGCATCAGCGAGGATGCCTAAGCAGTGAATATCAATCTGGATGATCAAAATTACTTAAGCTGCATTTGCAATGTTTCTTCAGGTCAGATTATATAGGCTTTACCCCTGAGAAGTAAGTTCCCAAGCAGGAAATGTTTTTTCTTTTCTCCCTCCCTTCCTCATCTTAATGGGATCTACTCTACATATTGCAGGAGCCAGAACAGTTTTCCCAGGGTAAACAAAAATATGATTCTCCTTTTTTCCACAGAAGACATGGTAGAGGTTCATCTTAGCAGAGACACTACCCTGCCTTCTGCTTGACTTAAGACTAACATGGCTAAATACCTCTCTTTTCCCACAAAATGAAGTTTCATCTTCCTTCAGTGTTTACCTTCAGGACCTCTCCACAGGCACAGCCTGGCAATCCTGTCATTTTACACTCAAAGACACATACTCAGTGACAACCTACTGCTTTATTGTATCTCTTTGGCTAGGGCTCTTCTTGACCATCTATCTATTTGCCCCTCAGGTCATGCACTGTGGGAAAGGCAAGCATGCCTGGAGTAACCAGCCAAACTTAATTATGTATTTCTGTCCATCCCAGAGGTCCAAATAGATACTCCACAGGTATCAAATCACTCTGTTCACATCCATGGGAAGTGGGGGCAGTCTACACAAAGATTACTGAAAGACTGTGTCCAGGGCATCTCAAAATAATATAAGCGCACATGAAGACTTCTCCTGTTTGCCACTAGAAGGAACAGCTAGATGTGAAGAGTGGACAGTTTGCAACTCTACAGTAGCTTTTCCAAGTTATCCTTTTTCTGTCCTAAGCAAACAAGAATCAGTGCTGCTGACTGATGTGTCTGTACTCGTGACAACTGATGTGTATACATTCAACATTACACCGCCACATTCAGTATCACTCAGTAGGAACCCACTCACTTCAGGGGCTGCAGCTAGTTTTATGCTTTGTTTCTCTCTGTCATCTTCCATTCCTTTCTATTTTCCCCTTTTCTTCTCTTTGAATTAACTATCCCAGAGCTCTGATCAATTCCCCCTGAACCAGGGATTTCATTCC